ACACAGTCCATTACTATACCCGCCTGTCATTCATCTTGCGCATTTCCTCCATCTTCACGTATAGAACTACTTGGGCTATCGAATACTGTTCGCCATACCATACATCCGCATCCATGTTCCTTCTCGGTCCCGGAAAAGCATCGGAAATCTGGGTTTCGCCGCCGGATGCTATTGCCGTGGGGGAGGGCGGCGGCGGCGACATTTTGGCTAGACCTCCGACTCGGTTGGTGGGGGTTTTTATTCGGACTAAGCTGCTAGCGCGAAAGTGGTGGGGAAAGAGGGCGGGCGCATGGTTTCCGACATTCGATATCGGAGGGGCGGAATTAAAAGTATGGGTGTGTGTATCGGGAGATGTAGGAAGGATGGAGGGTCGAGAGGGGTAGGGGAGTGGGCTTTTTTTTTCTGGGTTGCTATATGTGGGGAGGGAAGGAAGGTGTTTTTGATTTGTAAACGGGAGGATTGGGGGTTGGTTATTGAGGGTGTTTTGGTACTAGCCTAGTTAGATCTGCGAAATGGACGAGATATTCTCAAGTTTGGAAATGTTTCTGTGGTCGTTTTTTTCTCTTTAATACTAAAAACAGGTAGTCCATTCTTTGAGTAAATCGTCTACCTCATCATTTCCTCGAGACGTTGTTCCCGATGGCGAGCTCGCTATCTCGGCGTCCATATGACCCATATCTTCCATCCGAATGTCGAGCTCTGTAGTGCGTCAATTTTAGGTTTCAGAAAACGGAGTACACCACTTACCATGATCTCGTGGCTCAAAGTCGAATACAGGCGTAGGCGCAGGTTCAGGTAAAGGCGCAGATGCAAGTGCAAGGGGTAACGGGGGGCGTCCTGGCGCTTGTGCTGGTAGAGAAAGAGCTGGCGCATATACTGACGAGCGAGATACAGGCACACGTATTTCTACCTGCTCTGGGGTTTCCTGTATCGTGGCATAGTTATAGGAATAACCAGAAGATCCTCCAAAACCAAAAGCCTGGCTCTGCCTCCCATAGCTTGGCCGGCATGAGTATTGGATGGCTTCGCCGGATACAGCATAAGAGTGTTCATCATACCGTTGCCCAACATTTGTTTTAGCCCTATCGGAAATAAATATCTTTTCAAACACATGACCTTGACTCTTTGGTCTTTGCACGTAGGTTATGTCCTCTTCCGGCTTCTTTGTTCCTTGCAGTCGTACTGGTGTTTTTGCCCGCTCCACAACTACCTCACCCGCGCCTATCGCAATGACAGCAGTGGATTCTTTCTTCTCTGTTTCCAATACGGAACTTTTGGGTTTGGATGTTCGGTATACAGCCTCTACATTGAGAAGCTGTTCCGTTTTCAGCATCACGTTTTTATTCCCCGTGTTCGAGCTACCAAGCAGGACGCTGTCGAGATGGGAGCGAGCGGCAAAGTAAGATCCAATGACCATCTGATGATCGTCGGATTGGTCATCTCCTTCAGATGTACTAGCCAGAGCTTGTTGCAGTCGTTCGATGCTTTCCAAGAGTGTCCGGACATGCTGAGCGCATTCTGCAAGAGAATCAGGAGTCATCGTAGAGCCGATCGATTTGGCGACCAGAGTCGAAACGGACCCATTGTCATCAAAAGAGACCTCGTCATCCTCAAATTCAGTGTTGCTATCACTTGTCTTGAATCTTTGCAATGACTCCTCATATCTCTTGGTAGTGTTCTTTTTGTTTTCCAGCAGCTGTCGAATCTCGTCTCGTTGTCTTGCCTCGGCTTCGCGGTCAAGCTTTTTTGAAGCTACCTGAAATGCATGCATAAGCACCTGCATTAGAAGTTGCAGTGTGCTCTTGAGTTTGTCGATGTGACTTCGCAGCAGCTCAATCTTGGGCTCCCGGAATGGCAGTAAAAGTCGGCCCATCTTTCCCTTTTTGCTCTTATTCAAAGTCGCTTCAATTTCTCCAAACATTGTAGAACATTCGTCCAGAGTCTCGTTTGCTGTCGCAATAGCACTCTTCGAAATTAGGCTCAAGGTATCGTCTTGCTTAAAAATGCCGCCTAATTCCTCAATGACGAAGCTGGTAAGCTTGATCTCTTTCGCTACATCTTTGATCCTACGGTCAGCCGTCGCCACACTGTCGGCATACTGATACAAAGCCTGTGAAAGTTTCAAACCTGTCCCTGCCAATTGCAAGACACTTGCGACAAGACCAATCGCTTCAGCCATGATTCTCCAAACACAAACCCGATTTACTTATTCTTTCACACACAACTGCACTCATGAAATATGATTTGAAATGTTGTTTTGTTGAGTGGAAAACAAATCAGTTCAGCTGTGTCCATCACATGTGGCTGCCTGATCGTTTAGGGCGTAGTGGGGTGGGCGCTGATCCCGTGACTGGCGCATTTCCGTTACCTACTACGAGTTTACCCTACAGTCCCTTAGCGTGTTCATTCACCTTATGATACATGTAATTCAACTCCCCAAAAAAACAAAGCACGTATGAAACATTTAGGATGCTCAAGTCTTGCAGTGGGTAGTCACGGGTAGACTGGCTGCGCCTTTCCTCAAGGAAACATGGCGCATTCCGAAAACCTGCACTGTCACTAGCAGACGTTCCTCCGTCATCATTGAGCAATACCATCCCTGTCCGTCAGCCGTCTTTCCTCTGATCGCCATGTGACATCTCACGCTGATTGGACGCCACAGCTGTTCAGCGCCACAGAACCACGACATGATATCATGGGGTCCAGCGCGTAGAGGACCTGCTTGGTTGTTGTTCTCGTTAGAGGAGCTTCCCCGCTGTGGGAGTTGTCGCGGCTTTGATTGTATTCACATAGATTCTGAACTCTTCACAAAACTTGCTGATACAATTATCATCCTCACTAAACTATTCGCGATCCTGAATAACCCAACACCTCAATCTGCTCCTCGTCATCGGATCGCCGATTAAACTTTGAATTTTACCTGCTATGGACGACGGTTTTCGGCAACCTGCCAAACTTCAAAAACGCAAGAGTCGAGAACGACAGGAACTTGAGCAGATGACCGGCGGCTTGAGTGGCCAACCAACAGCCAATTCATCGCAACCTATTTCCAGCTTCGCAAACATGACGCCCGCTGAAAAAGAAAAGCGGTCAAAATGGCGCATGTCCAATCCATTCTCATCCAAGGATAAGGCATCAAAAGAAAGCATCAGCCAACCTCCAAAGGATGCGGAAAAGGAAAAGTCTCGTAAAGATATCGACTCTGCTTACTACAGCAGCGAACGCAGCAGCGCCGACCCAAGCCTAGTAAACCAAACGCGTCCGATTTCTGGCGAGCAATTTCAGCGCCAATCATCGAACAATCAAGCACCTCTACCGCATACCCCGTCGCCCAATGGACATATACAAGATAGTCTTGCGCCGCCTCCGCAAACGATCCAGCATCGTTCAAGCCACGAGGATGTAGCTAGAGAGACATACCGCCAGGCTGGTACGGGGAACATAGTCACAGTGACAACTACCACGACGACTACGACCACCACAACGACTGGCCCAGGAGGTTCTACCACAGTAATGCAACCTCATGACGGCAGTAACGGGGGCCCACAAAGTGTACACACCTCCGGTCCTAGTCCACCACAACCAGCTCCGCCTCAACCTGATAATCACCACCCCCAAGGCCCAGGTCTGTCTGCTCAATCTGGCATACACCATGACCTGACTCCCCCGATACCCGAAAACGGCACTCCGCAAGGAAACAGACTCTCTCCTCAAGTTTCTCAAATCGGTAGAGACTCGTCTCCGCCAATCCCAGCGAAAAACAACATACGGCATAGGGTGGAGCTGGACTCAGTCTCACCAGGGGTACAACGCCCAGATCCCATGGACGAAACTGCTAGCCCAGTCTCTCCAAGCAGTCCTTCACGCGCAAATTTCTCTTACCCAGCTCGGGCACCACCTCAAGGTACTCCTCGACAGTCTCTTGGAAATAACATACCGCCCGTACCACCAATGCCAGAGCACCAACATGCTATGATGCCACCATTCGTCCCAACCCAGCAACTACCTGACTTCCACCCTGGCCTGGACTCAAACGACGCGAACCGCCCGGTACCCTACCGATCAGGCCACGAACTACCCAAGCAAAGCACAATGGCCAATCTCAAAGCTGCAGCCGCCGGCATCCATGTATGTTCTCTCTTCCTCCCCAGCCTTTTCTTCGAAAATAAGCAAAAACTAAGTAATATACCCAGGGCGCAGGAGAAACCCTCCGAGGTACATTCAACGACACGTTCGACCGCCGCAACCCCACCGCCCACGCAAAAAACCAAGCCGTCATCGAAAAAGGGCGCTCGGAAATCGAAGCTGCGCGCGCGAGGCAGTATGCAAGTCAGGCGCAACAATACCAACACCAGCAACAACAAGCTTCTGCAAGTGGAGACGCAGCACCTCATACGCCTCAGCGAGCCGAGGCCAAGACTCCGTATACGGGGCCGCCGGTATCCGGCTCCCAGATTGAAGGCAGAAGTGGACATGGCAGGGCTAAGTTGAGTAATATCATGAAGAAGATGAAGGAAGGACCTACGCCGTCCAAGGAGGGAACTGCGGGGCATTCTTAGTGCAGAATTCTTGCTTTTTTAAACTATCCATCTAATATTGCATCAGCGTGTTTGAGAAGCAAGCCTTGCATCTAGAAAAACGCGATGGAATGAATGTTTTTTTATCTCGATATGGGGGTTTATGATGCTGCGTTAGCGTGTTTTGGAATTTAGATTGTCCAAGTACCAATGTCAGGTGCTCGGGGTGGGTGACATTTTTCGTTGCGTCGGTGGTTGAAACGACATGTCACTATTAAGGAGTGAGATTTGCATCTCGAGTACCCAGAACGCTGGGACGGGGAAATAAACACGTGCAGTGAGATGTCACAGCACGCGGTCAAAAAAAAGGTTGAAGTGGATTAAATTCTCATTCAATGAACTATGGTAATTTACTCATAACTTCGTAACATGCATCTTGTTCTGAAATCAAAATCGCGGGTGTCGTGGGAACCAGCGCACGGCTTAACCATTGACAATGGTGCCGCCGTTGGCGTGGATAGTCTGACCGCTGATGGAGCTGCTGTCGTTGCTGGCCAAGAAGACAAAGCAAGTAGCAATCTCACTAGGCTGCGACGGCCTGCCGATTGGCGCGGTGAACTGCTTGATAGCCTCATCGTTCATAGTCGCTGGGATGAGTGGGGTCCAGACAGGGCCGGGGGCAACAGCGTTGACGCGAATACCCTTTCCGACGTACTGGTTTGACAGACCACGGGTGAAAGAGATGATGGCGCCCTTGGTAGAGGTGTAGTCGAGGAGGTCTGGGCGGCCGATGTATGCGTTGATTGAGGCGTTGTTGATGATGGTAGCGCCGCGCTTCATGTGTGGCAGGGCGTACTTGGAGAGGAAGAAGAATGGGTGGATGTTGGTGTTGAAGGTGTGGAGCCATTGATCCCTGTACATTATTAGCATCGAATATATTCACAAGCAGGTTCTCTACTAACTCGGAGAGGTCGCTGATATCGTTGACCATCATCTGGTAAGCGTGGTTGTTAACAAGGATATCAATGCCGCCCATGGCCTTGACAGCCTCGTCAATGACCTTCTTGCAGTTTTCCTTTGGCTTGAGATCGATGGCGAGAGTATAGCATTTTTGGCCCTTCTCTTCAACCATCTTCTTGGTCTCTTGGGCGTCCTTTTCTTCCTCGGGCAGGTAGGCAATGAAGCTGTCGGCACCCTCCATAGCAAACAAGACTGCTATTGAGCGGCCAATGCCCGAGTCACCGCCGGTGATGATGGCCTTCTTGCCCTTTAGCTTGCCGGCAGCTTTGTACTTTTCGGCGCCGCCTTCAGGTGTGGGAAGCTCATCCACTTTGGGCGTGGGGTCAAGCTTGGACTGTAGGCCAGGCACCTGCTGGTGCTGGACATCAGGCTGGAAGCCTGGGGTGCATTGTTAATGGTGATCAGTAGTTGAGGATCATTTGTGCTTACCCTGCTCGAACTGTCCTTTGTCGGAAGACATGGTATATTTTCAATGCTTGTACTCAGGAATCAGATGAAAAGTAAATGGATTCTATCAGCGGTTTTTTGAAGCAGAGATTGTTAGTCTAGTGGTGGTTCACGCTCAGCGAGAGACTTTTATTGATGTTGGGAATTTACCGTGACATCACAAGGCGGTCACTGCGTGTTCATGAGCAAAGGTGGAGCAGTGCTCCGGAAGCGTCAGGGACGCTGTACCAGGACCTTTCCATCGACGATAGAAGAGCATCGACCGATGGTGTATCACAGACTGTGCGAACTGGTGGGAGCGTCTTCAGCCCTACCCGCGGCTTGACATTGTTTCTGTGCAGCCACGTGATCAGCGCGCATGTGTGTACAGATATATATTCTTTTGGAAATCAACGGCTCCTAGCTTCAAACATCAGTAACAAGTAAAGCCATAAACGTGGGACATGGTTGCAGAGGGCTGTGATTTCAAGCAACCCCACTGGCGCGCATCGCTACGTCATCACTCCTGCACAGCCAACGATAACGATGCCTCTCGTTGGGGTCCAGACTTTGAATTGCGAAACTCTACAACACTCAATTTCCCATTCTATCGCGATCAACAGCAAAACCCCTCCTCGCCAGCCCGCAATGACGCTTAGGAGGCTATTCCAAGAAGCTTATGACGTAGTCGCATAGCCCCACTTTTAATCAGGGTCCAGCGACCACAACCCGCTATGACCGCATCCAGCCACAGCCCACGTCGCGATCTCTGACCCCCAGACACCAACCGCCATCATCACCCGCTCTCCAGCCCAATCAGCCGCACGCCTGGATCCGATGCCACGATAAACTACCACAGAAGAAACGTCATGCGCCACGAGCCACCAACGTGCGTGCCAGGGGTGCCAACACCCAAGTCGGCCTGACGGGACCCTGCATGACGTGAGATGGGGACGATCACAACTCCATCTGGGCGGCTGCACCTTGGAGTCCTTGATTTCAGGGTCTTGGGGACGCTTCCACCAAGGGTCTAGAGGCCTTGAGATAGATGGGCAGATCACCAGCTGAGGAGCAGCAGAATGATATAAGATGAGCCATTGTTGCGTGTTTCCTATCTCCATCTTCACAATACATCTCACAACAACTTGAACAATCAATACCTGCAGCCAACAGCTTCAACTATCACCATCAAACTACTCTACTCTATCAATTACCACAAACAAACTCAACAACCATGCCTCTTGCACGCCGCTCTGCTCCCCGTACCACTCGCACTACTGCGCGTCCATCTCTCAAGACCCGCCTGATGGGAGGCCGCAAGACACGCACGCACACGAAGCGTGCTCCCGCTGGTACCACCACTACCACTACCACTACCAGGACCACCCGCACTACCGGTGGTCACCACGGTCACGCCGCCCCAGTTCACCACCACAAGCGCCATGCCACCATGGGTGACAAGGTCAGCGGTATGATGATGAAGCTTAGGGGCTCTCTAACTCGTAGGCCTGGTCTCAAGGTAAGCAGGAAACAATTCACAGCAACATGAACTTTTCTAACCATTTCTTAGGCTGCTGGCACTCGCCGCATGCACGGAACTGATGGCCGCAATGCCCGCCGCGTCTACTAGACATTCCAGCCGACTTAGTGGCATGATTTCTTTTATGTATTAATAGCGTTGTAACGATTGTACGATACGAGGACAGATACCCAATATTTTGAGCGTTTAGCATAGAATAAACTGTTCAAACTTTAAAATATTGCCCAAGCCACTGCATAACTGAAGAGACCGCTGCAAAAGTGTATGATGATTGGTGACCGACGACGCAAACCTATTTGCACGAACCATGATGAACATGACTATTCAGATGTGTAACGTGTTTTACAAGCGAGCGGGCCATACAAGCGAGCGGGCCACCCCACCAACTTTGCGCACCTCTTTACGTGTACAGCTCTACCACAACTAAATAAAACTCATATATATTAAGATAGTAGATTAAATACTATCTAAAGTATCTTTCTTACATGTACGCG